GAATGAGGTTTTACTAGACAGGAATACATGACCTTTTCCTAACACCAGCTAGCCCCCTCAACCTCGCTTCCAAAATTCCTTAGAAGACTTATGCTATCCCTAATGCCTTCCCAACTTGAAGGTATATAATCAATCACCTGTCACAACCCCAGGGCAGTTCTTTCTGCCCACAAGTCCTGTCCCTGTGCTTTGGTAAAACCACCTTTTTGCATGGAAGATCTTTCAAGAATTCTTTCTTGGCCATCAGCTCTGAACTCTGACATTTCCACATCACACGGCACCATACATAAAAATAATCTTGGGGTGCCTGGCAGGCTCCGTCAACGGGGTATGTGACTCTTGGTCTTGCTGTTGGAAGTTCAAACCCCACGTTGGGTGTTAGAGATTACTTAAAAATAAAATCTTAAAAAAAAATAATAATCTCGGGGCACCTGGGTGGCTCAGTCAGTTAAGTGTCTGACTTCGGCCCAGGTCATGATCTCACAGCATGAGTTTGAGCCCTGCGTCAGGCTCAGTGCTGACAGCTCAGAGCCTGGAGCCTGCTTCGGATTCTGTGTCTCCCTCTCTCTCTCTCTGCCCCTCCCCAGCTCACACTCTGTCCCTCTCTCTCTCTCTCTCTCTCTCTCTCTCAAAAGTAAATAAACATTAAAAAAATTTTTTTTACTAAATAAAAAAAATAATCTCCAAGAAACTAAAGACCTAAATGTGAAACATAAACATCTAAATTACAAAAAAAAATGAGGAAGGATATTTTTTTTAACCCCGGAGCAAGAAGTTCTTTCTTACAAAAAAAAAAAAATAGAACAGGCAAAGGTTTTATTTCTTGTTCATACCTCAACTTATTTCTTGTTCATACTCGGGCCACAATGGGGCTCTGCTCATCGTCACTCAACGAAGCTGAAGGCCCCATCACAGAACATGCTCACGGTGACGGGGCCGGGAATGGGGAGCACGGAGGGGTGGCTGCATCCCTACACCTCATCACTTCTGCCCCAGTACGCAGATCAAGTGAAGCCACGGGCCCCTTCAAAAGGGGCCTTACAAGGTGCCTAGAAGAAGATAATACTAATTGGGGAAACATTTCTTAAGCAAGACCAAAAAACACACAAAACATAAATAGTAGTAATAACAATAAGCTTAAATGTACTGGGTGCTTACTGTGTGTCAGGCATTCATTGTTGTAAGCACTGTAGACGTTTCCTCATTTAGCCCTTCATAATAACCCTATGAGGTGAGCTCTGTCATTTTCCAAATTTACAGTCGAGGCACTAAGGTTATGCAAATGGCTGTCAATGAATAAAACAGAGGCAAGAAACAAGAGAAGAGAACATATCAGAGAAGGGGTGATGGTGGTGAACTCTTGGGAGGGGTTATGCAATTAAGTTAAAAAAAAATTTTAATGTTTATTTATTTTTGAGAGAGAGACAGAGCATGAGGTGGGGAGGGGCAGAGAGAGAGGGAGACACAGAATCTGAAGCAGGCTCCAGGCTCTGAGCTGTCAGCACAGAGACACGGGGCTTGAACTCACAAATGCTGAGATCATGACCTGAGCAGAAGTCGGATGCTTAACCAACTGAGCCACCCAGGCGCCCCAATTCGTTAATTCTTTATACATTCCTGAAGCAAACCCTTTGTTGACTATACATGTTGCAAACATTACCTGTGGCTTACTTTTCCACTCTGAGTGGTATTTTTTTTTAATGGAAAAAAATAAATCATTCATTTAATGTATTCCAACTTATTCAGTTTTTTAAAATTTTTTTAATGTTTATTTACTTTGACAGAGAGGTAGACACAGTCGAGGGGGGAGGGGCAGAGGGAATCTGAAGCAGGCTCCAGGCTTTGGGCTGTCAGCAGAGCCCCACGCAGGGCTCGAACCCATGAACTGTGAGATCATGACCTGAGCCAAAGTGTCAGATGCTTAACTGACTGAGCCAGCCAGGTGCCCCTATTCAGTATTTTATGATTGGTGTTTATTATGCCCAGTTTAAGAAAATTTTCTCTACCCCAAGACCAAGAATTTTGCCAATGTTATCATAGGGGCCAAGGGCAGGCTGCCCCAAAATATGCCAGTTTGGCATAGTGATTATTTTAAAATTATACATTTTTTAATGTTTATTTATTTATTTTGAGGTAGGGAGGGGCAGAAAGAGAGAAAAAAGTTCCAAGCAGGCTCCACACTATCAGCGCAGAGCCTGACACACAGCTCAATCCCACAAACTGTGAGATCATGACCTGAGCCAAAATTAAGAGTCCCATGCTTAACCAACTCAGCCACCCAGGCGCCCCATGACATAGTGATTATTTTAAATAAAAGTCACTTAAGAAACAGCTGGTGTGAGTGATGAGGTTCTTGAACGGTTAAGAAAGAATTCTGGATACATCTTTGGTACAAAAAGGTGATTTTATTAAAGCACAGGGACTGGACCCATGGGCAGAAAGCGCTGCACTGGAGTTGTGAAAAGTGACTGATTACATATTTTTAAGCTAGTGGGGGTTAGGGATAGCATAAGTAACGAATTTGGAAGCAAGGCTTTCGGGACCTTGAGGGGCTAGTTATTAAGATAAGGTTACTTTTAGGGGCGCCTGGGTGGCGCAGTCGGTTAAGCGTCCGACTTCAGCCAGGTCACGATCTCGCGGTCCGTGAGTTCAAGCCCCGCGTCAGGCTCTGGGCTGATGGCTCAGAGCCTGGAGCCTGTTTCCAATTCTGTGTCTCCCTCTCTCTCTGCCCCTCCCCCGTTCATGCTCTGTCTCTCTGTCCCAAAAATAAATAAACGTTGAAAAAAAAAATTTTTTTTTTAAAAAGATAAGGTTACTTTTAGTCTTTACTAAAAAACATTAAGGAAATAAGGCAGCCATGAGTTGCTTGAGAAAGGTCACACCCTGCATGTTTCAGGTATCTATCAGTGGGCTGCAAACTGGAAGGAGATTTAATTTCAGCTACATTTCTCTTGCCTTTGTTTCCCTGCATCATAAGGACACTCAGACCCTCCTCTGTGCCCCTGAAAGCAGGAAATAAACCTCCCAAAGAAAAGGTATCTTCTCTGTACAAAATATAAAGACACCCTTATCACCAGAGATGGGAACTTTGATTTTTTTTAATGTTTATTTATATTTGAGAGAGAGAGTGAGAGTGTACGCATGTGCACACGCGGGAGCAGGGGAAGGGCAGAGAAACTCAGAGACAGAATCCGAAGCAGGCTCCAGATTCTGAGCTGTGAGAGCTCAACTCGGGGCTCAAACCCATGAGCTGTGAGATCATGAGCTGAGCCAAGACCAGGAGTCAGACACTTAACCGACTGAGCCACCCAGGTGCCCCCAGTGACAGAAAGCTGTCAAAGCAAACCGTGTTATTATTTTTTTTTCTAATCTACTACTTCAGCCTAAATTCCACTTAGAATTCCTTACAAACTAAAAATTCCAAATATCTGTTTTTTTTTTATCCTGTCAATTCCTCACAAATGTACTGTCTTTTTGTCTAAAAAGTATAAAAACTGCTGGCCTCTGTCATTCCTTTAGGTCTCAATGCTATCATTGGGCCTCTGTGTGCACATAATAAAACTGGGTTGTTGTTGTTTGCTTTTTTTGTTAATCTGTCTCAGGTAAATTTAATTCTCAGTCCAGCTGGAAGACCCTGAAGGCTGGAGGAAGAATTTTTCCTTCCCCACATTATCTTCTAGGATGCTTGTTATTTGTCACATACACATCAACAACCTACCTAGAACGGATTCTGAACTATGGTTGAAGGAGGAGTCAAATTTTATTGTTTTCTATATAGATATCCATTTAGCCACAGGTCAGGGGTTAGAGCAGAGGATCAGCCTGCTGCTACGTGTTAACCTTAAAAATAAAACTGCCAATTATCTTACTAGACAAAATGGGTTTATTCAGGAATAGCAGAGAACTGTAATCTGGGACAAGCAAGCTGTAGCAAAACCATGGCCTAGTCTGCAGAACAAAGGAGAGGAACACTGTGTGAACCAGACTAACACCATCTTGGACAAGTCCGCCATGATGACTTCACAGTCACCTGAAGCCTTAAGTATAGCCCCCACCCCACACACAAATTCTTTCTTTTCATCCAACCACACCCTTAAGTACGCCCTTGGGGCATAACGTCCTTGATCTGCTCTTGGAGATATAACTATGACACAACTATTCTCAAACATTTCCTCCTGGGTGGTCTACTAGCACGTACTCCCCAAACTCTAGGGCTACAAAAGCAGGTCTTACCGGAGATGGGACTGCAGAGATCTACTAGTTTTGCCACTCCGCAAGACACACTTCTGTCCGTAAGTCCCTTTAATAAACCATTTCCCGTCAAGCCGCACTTGTGAGCCTTTTTCTTCAGCATCACACCTCTTAAGGTCATTTTGTATATACCGCCTTTTCAGAGAACACTTGGACTTTTATTGAGGAGAGGGGGGAGGGTGCCGAGCAGGCTATTATAAGCAAAAAGTCCATTGGCTTAAACGAGGAGTTCGAAATATAGTGGCTCTTCATTGGCTGAGTTGTGACTGTCTCTCATTGGCTGCGCGGTTGTGGGCGGGGGTGGTGTAGGTGGGTGGAACTTTATTCCTCCTGAGGGAATAGTAAAGAAGTATCCACCTGTTGGGTCTGCAATTGACAAGGAGGGGTGGGGCTTGGAAGTTCCCTCTGCTGTCTCCCAATTTCATTCTAAACTAGGTTTCTTTTCAGAAACAGGAATTTCCTGGAAGCTGTCATACCTCCCTGGATCTCAAGTGACAAGCAAAGCATTGGTCCCTGTGTTTAAGAGAAAAAGAAAAATAGAGACCGCAGCAAGAAATTGTCAAATGGGTGGGGTACGTTTTCTTACAGTAAGAACACAGGATCTAAGACTGAAAGCCTCTGCACCTGTCATCCATTTGAACACTTAGCAAGGCTTGATAAGGTTCTTTCCAATGAAGTTCCAGTGACGTCTTCCTTTGATAAACCTTAGGTAATCTTAGTCAACAGCTTTGGCATTACTCTGTCTGTAGAGATCAGTTGGTAGGTTGTACCTGGAATAGAATACTTGGTTATGCATCATTAGTGCTGTAAAATAATCCACACAACATCATCTGGCCCACAAATGCTCTGCCAGGGAGAGGCCTTGGGGGAGTAACCAGAAATTGTACAGGCCTCCCACAGACGATGGATCACCTGCGGAATCACCGTTTTCACCTTGTGGTGCATGTCATGCTCCTAAGAGCTATGGGAAGGGCATCTGGCCAATCTAGTCCAGTTTCTGCTTAAACCCTGGCCAGTTTATCTATTTTAGAATCGCATTTTGAAGTTCCACCACTTTCCCTGATTCCAGATAATGTGAGCCACAAAGGCATTCATGAATCAATAGGCTTTGCATCTATTCATAGGCAAGGGTATCCAAGCTTTAAAAAACACCTTTAGAAAACCCTTAGAATTCTTTTGCCAACAAAGTATCAATCCTGTGCTTGGGCTTGCTTTAAAAGGGCATACATTTACTGAAATCTATTCATGTGGTCAACGGCTTCACTTGAATAAAAACAACTTGAATAAAAACAACTGGAATAAAATATATTGTCATCCTCCCAAGGGAACAGGGGGTGGGGGTGGGGGCTTGCGTTGTTCTCCTTGTCTTAACATGTTTTCCCACACTGCAATCTTAAAAAGCATGTCGTTCTTAGAATACCATTGAAAGGTTCTGAAAACTGGTGCATTCAAAACATGCTAATTGTTCTAGAATTCCCTTGGTGTTTGTGGGTGCCATGCCTGGGGTAACAGGTACACAGTGAGAGAAAACACTTGGTGCTGCCAACAACCGTTTAGGGAGCACTGAAGATGGTGTGGGCAAAAAGATGCTCTGGTCAGTCTCCAAAGGTCACCAGTATGGGGCCTTAGAGTACGGCAACGTCTGAAAGAGATGCCGGAAGATGTCAGTTGATTAAAAATGAGAAAGAGGGGCGCCTGGGTGGCTCAGTCGGTTGAGAGGTTGACTTCGGCTCAGGTCATGATCTCATGGCTTGCGAGTTCGAGCCCCACGTCGGGCTCTGTGCTGACAGCTCGGAGCCTGGACCTGTTTCGGATTCTGGGTCTCCCTTTCTTTCTGTCCCTAATCCACTCACATTCTGTCTCCATCTCTCTCAAAAATAAATAAACATTATTATTATTATTATTTTAATGAGAACAAATGCGCCTGAGAACAGGAAATGGTTACAGCCTATTCAGTTACCCATGGAAGGAACAATATTTTACAATAGACATAGGAGAAGGTAACAAAAGTACCAGAAGAAATATTGGTTCCTTTATCAGTGGGGAAATGTTGGGGTTTTGCCACAATTGGCCTACAATCATGAAGCGCTCAAAAGCATCATGAGGACTGATACAAACGCAAACAAACTTTTGGGAAGTGAGAGCACAGGTGCAGGGGAGGCTACAAGTTTGCTACCCGAGCAGAAAAGACAGAAAAAACTTTTCCACCTCATGTTGAGAAAACACTGTATAACCAAAGACCATTCTTTTCTCTGAGCAATCAGTCACTATTCATGAGGGTTTTTATCACCATTAACTTTAATTTGCCTTGCTGTGCATGCACGTGCATAATGTGGAACACCTTTTCTGCACCTCACATTCTCTCAGCCTCACTTATAGTTTCCAGTCTCATCTGCAGTAAACGGTACCATGCTGGCTCCTGTTGACACACCTCTCCTCAGGTGCGCGCTGCCTCTCCCTTCCTGCCTCTCGGCTTCTCTGATGCAGAGGCACAGAAAGCCTGGGAGAACCCACTTTGCATTCATACGTATGCAAACCCGAAGTGTGGGGAAGTCAAAATTCCATGGGGCAACTCTCAACCAATGGAGGACATAGGCCAGACAATAAAAATGTCTTCCTTTTGTCCCCCCCCCCCCCCGTCAGATGATTCTGAGACTCATTTCATAAAGCTCTCTTTCTATCCTCCAGGGCCTGCCCTTTCTGCTCTCTATAGGTTCACTTCCTTTTTTTTTTTTTTTTTAAACATTTATTTACTTTTGAGAGACAGAGGCAGAGCACAAGTGGGGGAGGGGCAGAGAGAGAATGAGACACAGAATTCCAAGCAGGGTCCAGGCTCTAAGCTGTCAGCACAGAGCCCGATGCAGGGTTCCAACTCACAAACCGTGAGATCATGACCTGAGCCAAAGTCTGACGCTTAACTGACTGAGCCACCCAGGCGCCCCTAGGATCACTTCCTAAATAGGCCACCTGAATGTATAGGTAAGGCAGAAAAATCCTTTTCTGCTACCCTCTTATGGTCTGTTCCTAAGGCATATGAATTAAACCAATAAAAGAAAGATTCATAAGAGAGAAAAAAAAAAACAGGTTATTTATGTGTGTAACACACACAGGAAGAGTCAACAATGAGTAACTCAAACAGGTCTTCAGAATTTGGGGCTTATATTTCTAACTTAGTAGATGAAGAGAAAAAAGAGAAAGGGCACTTATGGAAAAACACATGACTTTTGGGAAAGATAAATGAGCCTTTGGACAATAGATCAGAGACATGACAGTCTCATGATAATGTCTGTTTGGGTGTGGTGCCAATTTCTAGTCTCCAAGATTATACAGAGTTGTTCCCAAGACAGGATTTATAACAATTTGAGTTCTTCTGGGAGGCAGATAAGGGATTCCAAGAACTCAAATGCCTTCAGCTCAAAATAATTCCTATGCCCAAGTGATATGTTTGGGGGTGGCATACCCTGATCCCCTCCAAATGTAAGCCTCAGGTTAAACACACAAGCACATATAATCATACCAAACAATATGCTTAAATGACAATATCTATTTTTAAAATCATAATGAATAGTAGCAATCATCTTATTTTTTAATTTTTTTAAATGTTTATTTTTGAGAGAGAGAGAGAGAGAGAGAGAGAGAGACAGAGCGTGAGTGGGGGAGGGGCAGAGAGAGAAGGAGACAGAATCTGATGCAGGCTCCAGGCTGTCAGCACAGAGCCTGACATGGGGCTCGAACTCACAGACTGTGAGATCATGACCTGAGCTGAAGTCAGACACTTAACCAACTGAGCCACCTAGGTGCCCCAGTAGCAATCATCTTATAAAGCAATATTTACGATACGTGGATTAATTTACCCTCTTCATTTGAATATTTCAAAGACCAAATGTATTTATACATAGAAAATAATCCATAGGTTAGAAATCTGCCTGGGGATTATATAACCACATGCTTTATTTTCTCTGTCTCTTTGGATTTTAATTTCTTTAAAAATCTCCAGATAAACAATGGTAACTTATTAATTAGCTTAATATTTCATTGCCTGTGACTCAAAGTTATGTACACGTTTTGGAAAATACACTGTTAACATTAAACAATCAATCAGGCTGATTAAGGATTTATAAGGGAAATATGGTAACAAAACATACGCTTTTAGGTGAAAACTGTAGAGTCACATAATTTGTCATATTGTGTATATATTATAAGTTCCAATAGTACAAGAAACAATTTATAAAATATTAGTTTTTTAAAAGAATTAAATCAAAAAATAAAATAAGTAAATTTAGTAGAATACTTGTGTTTATATTCACATACTCTTATTTTTTTATTTTGTTTATTTTAATGTTTATTTATTTTTGAGAGAGAGAGAGAGGGCACATGCGCACAAGTGGGGGAGGGGCAGAGAGAGAGGGGGACACAGAATCTCAAGCAGGCTCCAGGCTCCAAGCTGTCAGTATACAGCCTGACAAGGGGCTTGAACTCACAGACCATGGGATCATGACCTGAGCTGAAGCCAGACGCTTAACCAACTGAGCCACCCAGGTGCCCCTACATACTGTTAAATATTAGTGTAAGTAATAATAATCAGGAAATTTGAAATTTCCACTTAATTTAACTTTTGGGAGGAGATTGAAAAATTAAATTCAAAGTCTTGCAGGAACTAAAATACTACATGTGCATTTTCATTTCCTACTGTGGTAAAATCAAGGAGAAGACCTATATCATCTTTTAGCTAAAATTCACAACATAATTTATTTTATCAAAGGGTTTACCTTCACGGAGAATATTAAAAGCAACACATTAGCATTTAATTTCCTTGCATTTATTTATTTTTCCATTTTATATCTGTTTATTTGAGAGCTTTGCCTGTAAAAGTCCTAGCTGATAAAGGCACATTGTTGCAAAATACCTCCTGAAGGAATAAGACAGAACTCCATCTGATAAAGAATGTACACAGGCAAAATTAGATGGCCAGGTTACTTCCTTCTTTCCTCTTGTCCTCCCCCAATTCCAAATCACAAACAGCAGCTGATTTCAAAGCCCCCTCTGCCCCACCCAGCCCCACTCTGGCTGAGAGGGCTTCTGTTACACTTGCTTAAGATTAATTCCAAAACTGAGAAGGATTTTATAAAATGCACATTCAAATCCTGAACACGTTCTTCCTCCTTAACACAAGGATTCTCAGAGACCCACACAGATCAAGAGTCCATGATTTAGGATTCTAGCAAGATTCTTGGTCAAACAAGACCAACATTCAGAAGACACTCCCCAAGGGTGAGGGTAAGAGTTGCTGGAACTGAATCAGTAGTTGGTCCACACCACTGAACTGGGCAGTGAAGGTCCTTCCGTCCTTGGAAGACTTACCCTTGGCCTGTGCTGCAGGGAAAGCTGGACTAAAACACCAGATACTGACTCAGCAGAAAGCAACATTTCTCTCTTAGAATTCAACCTGAATTCTCTCAGATATTTCCTTAGAAAGTCATACAATG